CAAATATATATACGCTTCAGTGTAATAATGGAGTTTAACTGAAGAGTGGGTCACCTTTTCGGTGGCCTACGAAACAGGCTTGTATTAAACACCCATGCACTCAGGATTTGAGTAGTTCACCTACTGGTCTATATATATATATATATATATATATATTTTCCCGACTGTAAAATCAGCCTGAAATCAGCGTTACTTCTTTTGTTTTACATTTTTAGGATTCAGGTATTTGAAAGGGTAGGGATTTTACTCGTAGAAGTATATAAAAGGAGCCTGTTCAAGGCGTTCAGATACTGGGGACGGCGCAAAAAAGTGAACAGGGTGTGAAACGTTGACGTTTTCAGTCTCTTGAAGAAATAAATCTTAAACTTATGTTTTCAAGGAGCGGCAAATTCAAGCGACTGGCTAAATTGAGTAACTTAAAAGAACACAGATATAATCCGGCTACGATCGCGACTGAATCGAATGATATGGAATCTAACCATACTATCTATAGTTATATACGTTGTATTTGATACATTATCTAATACAGGCACGCATGCCTGTCACGGTGATGGGCATCCAAAATTGGCACGTTAAACGGAGAATAATCTTATTATCTCTTGGCTTGTTATGATTCACTTGGAAAATCTGTTGCGGAATGCCATTTTGGTTTTTCGAGAAGATACCTTGTATGGGATCCCCTTTTTTACAGGCATTAATTCCCTGCTAGGACTATGTGGTCTTTCTGTTAAAAACTCGTGATTATGGAAGATCCGATTATAGCTTCTTTTAATTTTGCGGACTACCTTTATGGAATACGATTGACCACGTTTTTGGCATGAAATCAATTGAGTCTTACAGGAAGGGAGGAAGATCATAGTACCAGGTAACCTGAGATAGGCTCTATCATGTTCAGTCTCGCCCTTAAATAACATTCAGCGAGACGACGTAAGAGAGAATGTATGGACTGGCTCGTGGACTCGCTCCAAGCGCTCTTTGGAACGAGGTACTTCAAGAAAAGTCTGGACGAAAATCGGGGAGCGCTTCTGCTCTTTAGTTGCCTCGTTATTCCACGCCGACCCTTCCTTTCCTCTGGCGTTTGTTGATTCAGATAAAGAGAAGGAAGGGATTGGAAACGCTTCTAAGCCTGTTGGCAATTTTATCTAGACATTTATACGCCTCACCCTTACCCCCCCCCCCCCCCCCCCCCCCCCCCCCCCCACCCCCAAAACTTTCCCTAGGGGGAAAGCCCCAAAAAAGGGGAACCCCGCTTGTTGTGCTTTTTTTTTTTAAATAAAAAAAAAAATTTCTCCACACAACGCACAACACCCCCCAAAAACAAAACGATCAC